TTGTTTTGTATATTTGATTGAGGACATTTTTCCAAAACTTTGCCCATTAAAAATTAGGTGCACTCAACCCCAAAAAATCCCCCACCCACCCATGGGGGCTGGGGAATTCTGGGAGTTGAAGTCCACTCATCTTAAAGTGGCCAAGTTTGGACAACACTGTCCTAATCCATGCATCAAAGCCATGGTTCTGTGTAAGCTAACATATCCCAACTACACTTACTTGATATATAGAAGCCACAACAAATCATGTGCCAATAATATGGAAATACTGTAAATGGAAATCCAATCTTTTGCAGGGTCACTACTTTCTTCTGGACCCAAACAATCCCATCCTCTTTTTTAAAAAGGCAATGTGTGTGGAGGCATTCTGCCGTTACAGAGAATAGGAGCTGTGTGTGCATCTTCCCTACTCTCATCAAGGATAATCTAAAAAGGGGGAGAAACTTTATGGGGATAGGCCTCTCCTCTGCACATTTACACATGACCACTGCAGGGGAAGGAAGGAGAAAACCAGGTTCTATCATGTTTTGTGGGGATCTTTCTGGATATTGCAGATCAGAGAGCTGGCTGTTTAGTTAAAATGCAGATTTTGAAATGTTTTACTTTTTATTGCATTGCCACGATTGAAGAATACTACAGAGGAGTTAAAAAAAAAGTTTCCAAAATTAAAAGTAAATGCTAAACAGAAGAGGGAGGAGGAATGAACAAAACCAAAAACAAATGAACTTACCATACTGCGAGTGAACTTTTCTAGGGAAGTTCTACGACCTTGCTCATTCTCGGGCTTTAGAAGGGGAAAAAAAAGTTAGGAAGGGAAAAAAAATGCAAAAAAAAAAAAAAAAAAACCAAAACCAAAAACAGAACAAAAAGCCCTTCAGCTTAATTTGGCTTTAGAAGTGTTAGCAAAAGAAAACAAAAATATTAAACATCTCAAACATATGGCAAGTGCTGTTCGCAAGAGCAAAGCAAGAAGAACTTTGTGCAATCATTTTGTAGCTGCTTTTCTTTGGGAAATGTTGCACTCCTTTTTTTTTTTAAATAGCTGTGGACACATAGCCCAAAGTTACATACGGTATATCAAGAAAATTATTTATAATGATGTATTCTGCATCTGTCAACTCTCTATGGCTCTTTCAAAATAGAACCAACATTTTTCAGTCAGAAGGTATTAGTCTGTATTTATGATGGAATAATCCACTCTCTCTGTGTCTGTGGGTATGCAAGAAAAGCTAAGAAAAGCTTGAGGTAAAACAGAATAAAAGAGGATTTGATGACCTCATCCTATTCCCCCTTCCCAACTTTATTTATTTAGACATTTCTATTCTATCTTTCTATGACAAAATCAAATCCAGGGTGCCTTACAAATAAAAATGATACTCCTTTCTGATGCACCTGGTGTGCTATGAAAATTGATCAAATTATCTGTTCTTTGCTTCACTTTATCCCTTGGAACGAAAATCCTATGGTGGTCTACTCAAAATGAATCCCATTGTGCTCAGCTAGACTTACTCCCACGGAATTATGCATAAGACCACTGAAACTGTTGGCATAAGGTTTTGCCAGGCTACATACAAAACAATCAAATTACTATTATTTATCTGTTATTCTTATTATTTGGAAGCTACAACTACAAGAATTTTATTATAATACAAGAATTTTACTATAATAAGAACTTCACCAACACTATAGCTATATTACTGTTCTCCAGAGAAACATGATTCAACTCATTTGGCATAGAACAAATCTTATTAAATATGAATGAAAGGAAGATTTCCCAGCAAACAGGCCATTTAGCTGAATAAAGGAATTGCAATGTTCAGGGCCAAAGCCATCAAGACATGACCTAAGTCAATTCACCTGGTTTCAGTGGTGAGAGATGGATTTGTGGATGCATTTGGCACCATTACTAAATCAGTAGAGACTTTTTTTTTATGAACAGAAAAACAAATACTCAGTTTCAGTTCCGAATTTCTTTTCATATATTTTATTACTAGTCAGATTTATATCCTATATAATTTATATCCTATATAATCCCCACTATCCCTCCAATTTTCCCCACACCCAAAATAGATTACAGTAGAGTCTCGCTTATCCGACATAAACGGGCCAGCAGAACGTCGGATAAGTGAAAATGTCGGATAACACACAGTAACGATTGAGTGCGGTAAAAAAAAAAAAAAAACCCGATCCGCTGCACCTGTTGCAATCGATTTCTGCATTGCAGCGCCACACCGTCAGGAGCAACTCACACTCGCAAACAAGCGGCACACTTTTCTCATCGCTGATTTATGCGTATTGTGTTTTTTTTAGGGGCGTCAGATAAGACAGAATGTCGGATAAGCGAAGGTCAGTTAAACGAGACTCTACTGTATATTAAATTCAGAGAGAGTTAGTGGCCCAAAGTCACATTCAGCTTTCATGGCTGAAAGTGAAATTGAAGCTGGATTCCCAGGACCCTAAGACAGCCCCCCTGCCCCCACCTCCTCAGGAAAAAACAACAACAATGATCTAAAAAACGAGGGAAAAAGCATAGTGAACCTAACTGCAGAGCTTGGCTTTGTGTATTAATTAAAAAAAAAGAAAAGAAATTACAATTTTACTTTGGAAATAAATGTATCCATCATGTGTAAGGTAGACAAGAGTGGTCCTTGTGGTGGTCCTCACTTAGTGACCACTCGTTCAGCAATTGTTCAAACTTACAACAGCGCTGAACAAGTGGTACTTATGGCTGGTCCTCAGAGTTCTGGCTGTTGCAGCATCCCTGTGGTCACATGATCACTTTATGACCTTCTGTGCTGGCTTCCTATAAGCAAAGTCAGTGGGGAAGCAGGAGATCACAAATAGCAACCATGTGATGTCCTTGCTTAACAACCTGCGGTGATTCGCTTAACGATGGTAACTGGAAGTGCCAGACTTTCTGTTGCTAAGTGGTGTGGTCACATGACATTGCACTTTCTGCTTAGTGACAGAAATTCCAGTCCCACTTGTCATTAACTGAGGACTACCTGTACAGGCTAAGTGCTTTGGAAAATTGCCTTTCTTGTTTTCCAGGGCTACTATTACACTTGTCCTGGTTGCAGAACTATAACAATATATACATATAATGACAGAGACATACAGTATACATTTCCTTTGGTTTAGGTTCTGGTGGAACAAGAGTGGAAAAGGAAGATGGAAGATTGATTCTCTGATCTGCCTTACATAGATGTCATGTCCTAACCTAGTAAGCTTTGGATGTAGCCAATTAAAATTTCCAAAATTTCTTGTTAGCATGGCCAGTATCATGGTGGCTGGGAAATGTGGAAGTCTTAAACTCCATAATTACTGCTTTGCAGGCCTCTTTTCTAGTCATGTCTGTGCTAAATGAATTCCATTGATTGGTTATGTAATTCTAAAAATCAGAAAACATTGCCCCTCATAGTTCAAACAACTGATGATTTGATAAAACTAACCTAGAATTATTTCCCTAAAAGCTGTTGTGCTGAAGCATTTGTGTTTCTTCTGTCTCAGTCTTCCTCACACATCTTCAAGTCACAAATAATTCTAGGGTAGTTTCATCAAATCATCAGTTGTTTGGACTATGAGGGGCAATGTTTTCTGATTTTTAGAATTACATAACCAATCAATGGAATTCATTTAGCACAGACATGACTAGAAAAGAGGCCTGCAAAGCAGTAATTATGGAGTTTAAGATATGATACTGTGAGGTATGTGAGATCATTGAATTTTTGAACTTTTCTGTCATATTGCCTTTAAATAACTTTTCGTTTAAGATCAAAGAGTAGAACAGGACATTTAGATGTTTAGGGCCAAAGCTGTACTAGCATAGTTTTCTTTGAGTGACCTCTGAACTACAAATGTTCTGTTTCCAGAGGCCAGTGTGCTTTCCTAACATTGCAAAACATTTTAGTAGAAAGGGGAAAATAGGATTCCAAATGTGCAACAGGTAAAAAAATATGGAAACAGGAGACGCTTTCAAGTGATGCTTACATATATTTGTGTGTGGAATTCTCATCTGAAGCATTATAGGGGTTTTTTTTGAGAATTAAAAGCTGTGTGTATCTGAAATAGATTGGAGCTGTATATGCATACATACATACGTGTGTGTGTGTGTGTGTTTGAGACCAAATCTGTTCAGATACTATACTATGTAAAAGCTTATCTAATGAAGCAACTATGGTATGAAAACTGACGGTCCCAGTTGAAACGTCAACTGAATGTGAAACCACACCATGTTCATATGTTCGTATGCTATTTTAGTCTTCCCCAACTTGGCAGCACTGGCTGGAAATTCTAGGAAATGCAACATATCAGGAGGTTGTCAAATTAGGGAAATCTCCAACTATTTCTTTCACTCTAACTCTCTCTGCCCTAGGCCATTTCACACTATTGGAATTGGCTTACTAAGGATGACGGACCAACTGAAGGAACATCACACTTTGTGAATCTTGAAAATCCACTATAGTTGTATTGAGGTTACAGCCCTAAACACACTAAACATAGTTCCTAAAGCTTATAAACAGAACAATTCTATCCACTGAAGCCTGGATGCAGTATCTTTAATTACTGTAAATATGGAATCCATACATATAAATAGACAGGGATTGGCTTATGTAGTTTTCAAACATACTCTTCTCCCAAAGACATAAGGGAGGGAAGAACAACTACAAGACAGCAAGCCAACTCACTGTTGCAACCAACCATTGGGCATGGCTATACAGAGTTAAAATAATTAAGAAATTACTCACTCCAGTTTGCTGCAGGGAACTGGATGAGAATGTGTGGATCCATATGTTTACTTATTCAGCTCTTTGTTCTTCCTTTCATTCCCTTGCTATCTGTTCCCTCTTGCTCTAATCCACCAGTACTGAGTCCTTCAAAAGCATCTATTGCCAAAGAGTCATTACCTCATATATGGACATTCTTCCAAGGAAATGGATACATGGATTTAAAACTACCTACGGCTAAAATTGAGCTTGCAGTAGCAATAAAACCTCACCATGAAATAAACATGCAATTCATTGGAACAAACTTGGGAATAACTATCACAAGCTATGCACAGATAGGAAAAAAAAGTGTTATGATGAGTGAATGCTACACTAGGAGGAAGAAATAATATTAAAGTGATGTAGTTTGAAATATAATGAAACTTTGTTTCAATTGGCTAACTTGGAGGAGAGGTTGACCCAATATTCATAAATGTTCATTACATATAAAAGTATGTCATTACCGTGGTTTACATCATTTGTGTAATGATGTTATCACACACGATGCAAATGACATAATCTGCATCAATTTATGCCATTTGCATGATGGTCATTATGAAAATGGTGCAAATGACCTAATTTGCATCACATCAGGCCTGTTGCATGTGAAGTCTGTTTCATCAAGGGCTGCTACATTCTTCACTTCCAAGTTCTGATAAATGAGGCAAACTCTGATGCCGCCTATTTGACTCTTATGTCAAGAAAGAGAAATACTTGCAGATCACCTTTTTCCCCAATCAGCTTTCAGAACAGTAGTTAGGTTGTAAGAAAGCCTAATTAAATTTATGCCCTCCCCAAAATTTTTCCTGCCAGCCAGGGTTCAGGGATGGGGTTTCCACAGACAGCTCTGGCATATCCTCAGAACCTCCTCCAAAGTGGTTTCTTTTCTTCTCTGAGCTGAGTCTCTTGAACATTTTTAAGAGCCTGAATACATCTTATGTTCTCTTGCAATAGTAATGCTCATATACACCTTTTTCCATTTGGGGAATAAAATAAAAAAGAAAGAACACCGGGAAAGCTAAACCCATGCAATACAGCATTCCCCAATTCCTTCTCCTTCTCCTTTTTAGAGTCATAGAATCCTAGTGTTGGAAGGACCCATTTAGGCCATGAAGTCCAACCCTCTACCCCATGCAGGAGGTTAAGGCATCCGAACAGATGGTGCTCCAGTCTTGGCTTGAACACCTCCACCAGAGGGGAGCCACCTCTTCTCTGGAGAAGAGCTCCATTGCTAACTTGCTCTTACCATGGAGACTTCTTTAAACATTTAAAGTATGCCCCTCTATAAAAAGTGGAGTGTATAATCCCATCTTTAAAAAAAAGACAGTAGCAGTAGCTGATGAATCTATCACCGCTATAAGACAACTATGCTACAGGTACTTAATTATCTATAGATATTTATTGTATAGAGTCAGGATTTTGTGCTACTGCTTTGACATCCAAGCCAGTACTATGTTAAATACTTAGAATGAAATCTGATATTTTTGTCATGTGACCATAACAGAGAAAGCAAAGTGGGGCTTATGACCGATCATCTGGCATTCTGGACCCCCACTGAAGCAGTTCCAACCCAACAACAGCCATCAGGTAGAGTACAGCCCACCAGCTATGCAGGCCTACACAATAGCTTAAAATCAGCTTAACGGAAAACCACCAAACTAGATTCAGTAGAAGTGGTCTAATGGCCATTGCATTGCTGTTTCCCATTCCATCCCGACTTAATACCATATCTGCCACAGAAAGCCCTCTGAAGTCAATGTCTGGGATGAGAGAATGTCTCTTCAGTTCAGAGACTCAATATGGCTCTCACAAGAGCAATCAGCATGTAAAATACAGCTCTGAAAAATACTTGCAAACTCTTGATACAAAAGAAGTGCTGAAGGATTCAGTGAATGTCACTGAAGTATTCCACACATTATATCCAACCTAGCAGTTCTTTCTTTGTGAGTCCACAGAAACATGCAGATGGTAAACTTCTAGCAAGAGCTTGTACCAAAAATAGCCCCATACGTACATCTCTGCTTCACTGCCAAAAAGAGCTCTATGCACACATCTCTACTGCTCATGAGAGAGTGCCCCATCCAGTCAGCATCAAAGCTTTGCTCACGATCGCCAACTGTGCTTCAGAGTTCCCGTGCATACAAGGAACCAGTAGCTTGTTGAAAATAGGTTCTAAGAATTCAGATCCCATTGGAATTGCAACAGAGATTTGATTAGGCTGATGTTATTATGGGAGCATAGGAAAGCTGCAACTAGCAGAGGAGAGCAGAGAGCCAAACAACAGAAGAAGCAGAGGACTCAATCTGTACAAGCTTATATACAAAATTGAATATAAGAAGTGGGAAATCTTCTCAGGTGGTATATATTATTTAAACTTAGCCACAGATAAAAATCCAAGTGGATCAGCTCTCTGCCCCATTTGCTCCAAGTAAAATGCCTGATTTAGGATTCTAGTCCATACAAGAAGCCCTCTGTTGTTTTGGATAGTAAGGACAGAAAACGATAATGAGCACCACACAGCATGCTGACATGAAAAGGAGAAAACAAATAAAAAGCTGTGGCTGGATAGAAGAATAATCAGTCTGAGTTGCATTTAGTATTTGTTTAAAATTAAATAATAAAAATCTATATACAAAAAGTGCTGGTAGAAGGGAATGGCATTCATAGAAAATCAAAAGCTGATGGAAAATCAAGAGGAAAGCTTCAGGTAAGGCATCACAAGAACCACCATGAGATTAAACAGAAAGGGATGTTGCCTTGCTTCCCAACTGTTGCTATGACAAGATTAAATGTTATTCAACTGGATGATATTTATGCCCTGCAAATTGCCAGAATCACATTTTGCTACTTCATGTTGAAAGATGGTAGAAGAGCCATTGTTCAGTGATAGAGGGCAGCCAGGTCAACCCTGGGCACCTTCAGTTAAAGGATCCTGGGTAGCAGGGCTGGGAAAACCTGTGGGCATCTGCTGCTAGGAAGAGCAGACTTTCACAAGGCTTCATGAGAAATGATCTGACTCAGCGTAGAGCTGCTTCAACTTCATGTTACCTATTCAGAGGACGGCCAGTTCCATTGAACACTGAAGCGGTTTATCCGGATGCCAAACATGGAGCTTCAGGAAGAGGGAAAGACATGTTCTCAATCCTTGGAAGAAGGAAAGGGAACATGTCTTGGCCCCTCACCAAGAACAGACTGTTCATGTTCACACAGCAGCAAGCAGCAGGAGGCAGGAGTCAAGAAGGGCTTGGAGAAGCAAGCATGTCCTTCCCGATAGATACCTTCTTCTTTGCCAGCAACAAGTCTTGGTAAGCATTAGAACGGAGGAAACGTGCATAGCTGTCACTCTTCATCAGCTTGTAAATATGTTCCTGTGGGAAGAGAAGAAATGACAGGGTGAAATTTGTTATTGGACACTGTTCAACATTCTCTGGGTACCTACAAAAAAAAAAAATGAAATATCAAAGTGAAAGGTTCCCCCCAAATTTCTAAAATATGGTGACAGATGTTCCACAAAGGATTATTAGCCAGGTGAGAAGAAACCTTAGCATGGCTTTGTTCCAGGATGGAAGGAATGATTATTGATGTACTTGAAATAAGTTTCCTCCATCTTTCAATCCAAAGGGCTAAATAAAAGGTTAACCTTTTTTGCATAATGCTGCCCTTCAGTAAAGTTCGTTTTTAGTTCAGGATCTCTAATATAGATTAGGATCATATCCTAATAGTAGGACTCTAACTCTTTGCTCTCTCCTGGCTGCATCCACACAAGAAACTTATCCTGGTTACTGAATTAGCCTATTTTGGGGATTTGTGCAATACAATAAATAATCAAATAACCATAGTTTGGCTCAAACTGTAGCTATTAAGAAAAAAACAGCCAACAACTATTGTGAATGTACCCTATGATGGAGTACAGTTGGATTTCTAATTGCACTCACAACAATGTGAGTCATTATTATTAGATTGGAGATGCAATCTCATATACATTTGTCTGGGAGTAAAAGTTAATTAGAAGAAAAAGGATGGAAGCTGCTTGGGACAATGAACAGAACTATGTTGCAGAGCACTACAGGAGTGTGTGAAGTTACACTATAATAGGAAGTATGAAACAGGATAATGTGGCTGAGAGAACAAGACTGCTAAGATTAAAAGAGATGAAGAACATGCAGAGTGATTTTAATGGAGGGGAAATTTGTTTGGGAAGTGCGTGAAGAGGCTGAGCAAGGAGCCTCTAGCAGAATTAAAAGTGATGAAATTATTCGGGATGAAACTGAAGTGAGGGAGTGCTGAAACAATTATTTTAAAGGATTGTATGGGAATGATAGTTATATGTTGAATACTATAAACATAAGTGTTCTAGAAAACAAATGATGAAAAGGAAGTCATGAATGCTATGAGAATGTTGGGAAATGTAGATGATGTAACTGGAGAAATGTTAACACATGGATGTAGCGGAGTGGCTGTGCAACATGTTTAACATGTGTGTGAAGACTGCCGCTGTGCCTTAGAAGAATCTGTTATTGTTCTTCTGCACAAGGGAAAGGTAAAAAGAGTGAACAAAAAAACCTACAGAAAACTTAGTTTGTTAAGTTTGCCTGAGAAGAAGAGCATCCATCAGGGTTGTGGTCCAAAAAATCAAGATGGCAGCCACAACTGCTCAAAGCCCCTCCCTTGGTAGACGCATGTGATTTTGAGGCACATACTGTACAAAAGGGTGGGACTTGGATCATACACTTCAGATGCCTTGTTGATTGGTTTGACCCTCTCCAGAACTGCGGAAGAGATAGTGAGTAGTGAATGATAATGAATAGGTTTGAACTATGGAAATGTCTGTGAATAAGGAGCTGAAAGTTGGTTGCTGAATATAGTAAGAGAGATATATGATGAAGTAAAGCATGAATATGAATGAATGGAATGTTTAGTGAATGGTTAAACACTGAGCAGGAAGTAGAGAAGGTTTAATGTATTTAGGGATAAATGTATAAGGGATCCTTGTGATGAAGCTAGAGTTGTGTCAGTTGTGGATATGAGTGGGGCTGTACTTTTGTATGCAGATGATGCTCTGAACCCAAATAATTTGCAGCAAATGTTAAATAGAGTGTATGATGCAACAAGGAATACAGAACTTAGTTATGTAACAAGATGCAAGGAGTTGGTTTTGACAGAGAAAATGAAATGAATGTTTGCAAGTTATAGCTAAATGGCAAAAAACTTAAAGCAAATTGGTGAATTTGTGTACTATGTTTACTAAAGAGGGAGAAATGGAGCAAGAAATGTTTAGACGTGTAAATGCTGATAGAAAGGTGGAGGGCAGTATAGTCTGTTGCAATGAATGAATATTTGCTGAAAGAAGTGAAAATACCTGTGCATAAGAAAGCAGTTTTGCCCATTTTTTGTTATCTGGAAATGAGATTGAATGAAGTGGGAACGGAGCATTTACAAAGACTGTAACTGAAATGGATACTGAATGATTATGGTCTGAATACACAAGTTTATGTCCAGTATAAAAAAAGTATGTTGAGATGATTTGGTCATATAGACAGAATTAATGAGAATTGAATTGCAAAGCAGTTTGAATGAAAAGTGAATGGGTTGAGAGGAAGGGAAAGACTGAGTAAGTCATGATTGGATGGAGTTGATGAGATACCATCATGACCATGTAGTATTTGAGATTAAATTAGCATTGGTCTACCATGCTACTATACATAGTCCTAGAACAATACCTAAAACATAGGCATAAGAGTCTCCTTAATATAATTTGCACAACTATTTGACCTGTCTCCTATAATATTGCAGGGTCAGGCCATCTGGTACCCTAATCTAGATTTATGGATCACAATTTCCATCAGTTCCAAATAGCATGGCCAGGAGGTTGTGATGATATTATAATTCAAAGCACTAGATTGCTCTATGCACACTATTATGTCAGGTCTTATTCTAGCTTTGAATGGGCTCAAAGACAAATGATCTTGGATAGCCTTTTTTATCTGACAGTAGACTCTGCTGGGTTTTCTTTGCTGTGGTACCACTGATCTAACCATGCTGGATGATGACTCTCCCAACCTTTTTATTTTTCTTACTGCCCCAAACTGACATGAACTTAGATGCATTATGAGAAATTGAAAGGGTGGCTAGATGCAGTTGTTAAAGAAGAGCCAGGACGGGCATCAGATCTGGGCCCTTATAAGATGCTGCCAGGCATTCAGGATTTATTGATTTTATATCCAACCTTCTGTCCAAGAAGCAATATATGGGGTAATCCTTAAATAACCATAAGGGATAGGTTCGACTAAGAGATAGTGGCCAGCCACTTGTCCTGGGAGCTCTATGGAAATGTAAACCCTGGTCTTCCTAGTTCCAGTCAAATACTCTAATCAATGTTCCATTCTGGTCCCAGGTTTGTTGTTTCGACAAATTGTCTGACATGTCTCTCCTTGTTCATTACTTTGCTCATACAAGTAGACCCACATGATGAATAGCTACATGCACAGACCTATATATTAATTAGGTGTACATATGGGAACTGGTAAATAGCAACTCACTTAAATGGATTTTAAAATGGATCTATTCTATTGTTTGCCACTTTATTAAACTTGGCATGTTAATGAAGAAAATGGTCCAGAAGGAAATCAGCAGATGACTTGGAGTCAGTTTCAGAGTGCAAAGTTTCAGGGACACTTTTTCAGACAAAAGGTTGGCACAAATATGGCAGTGAATACAATTTTAGAATGAAAGCTACACTCTCTTTGCAACCTACTGAGTGACTTCCAGCTGTCCCTGGCTCAGCATTGCTCCTGTTGCTGTACCTGACAGATCTGCTGTCCACAACAGCTCCAGTTTGAATGATGGCTTCAGTAACAGTGTAGTCCTCTGTATACCCTTCCGTATCTGGGGTCTTACCATCTTTGGTTCTGGATGGGGTTGCACTGCCCCAGACAGATCTGGTGTGCAATCTGGGATCCTCCTGGACTCACGACTCCTGCCCGAGGACCAGGTGGTAGCCGTGGCTAAGAGGCCTTTGCTCAACTCCGTGTTGTGTGCCAGTTGTGCCCTTTCCTGGATTGGGAGGCCCTTCTCTCAATCACTTATGCCCTGGTCACCTCCCGTGTGGATTATTGCAACATGCTGTATATGGGGCTACCCTTGAAAAGTATTTGGAGGCTGCAGCTGGTGCAGAATGCAGCGGTGTGGACAGTTATGGGAGCCCTTATAACTGCACATGTAGCACTTCTGCTGTGCGAGCTGCATTGGGTGCTGGTTTGCTTCCAGGTCTGATTCAAGATGTTGGTGATCACCTTTAAAGCCCTTCATGGCATGGGCCCAGGTTACCTGAGAAACTGTCTCGGCTCCATTACGTCGACCTGTCCCACTCAGTCCGGTAGGGAAGGTATGTTACGGACCCCGTCACCTAGAGAGTTTCAACTGGCGGAGTCCAGGAGGAGAGCCGTTTCTGCCATGGCTCCAGCACTCTGGAACATCTTGCCCCCTGAGGTGAGATTGGCCCCCACTCTGTTGGCCTTCCAAAAGGGCGTTATGACCTGGCTCTGCCAACTGGCATGGGGGCCCAACAGGGGTTCGCAGCACTGGGGTGGTTGGTAGCCTGAGGATGCTCTCTCCACCTTTTTAGTTGCACTGTAGTTTTAACTTTTTAGTTTTAACTTTATCTTTTGTAGGTTTTAACCTGTATATTTTTTTCTAAGGTTTTGTAGTTTTTTACTTGTAGTACCGCCTAGAGTCACTTGTATAGTGACATGGGCAGCATATATACATTTGAAAAGTTAGATAAATAAATAAATAAATATTATGAATCCAGGCTGTAGCTAGGAATATGTTATCTTGTGATAATTTACTATATTGGCCTGTGGAGATGACAAAAATACCTGCTGCTGCTATGTGATACGCTAAAATATGTGGAGTTTGCAGCCCACAAGAAGAAGATGCAATTAGCGTTTGGCAATGGGGGGAGAAACAGATGGGGAGACATAGGCAAGTGCTTTGGTAAAGGGTTCCCAGTGAAACTGGTGAACATCAGTTTAATTATTTTGTTTCCACTGTTCACTAAAAAAGTCTTAACGCTGGGTCAGTATGTAATAGACTATCATTTTATCAGATCTGAGAAATTATTTAAAATAGTGCTGTTCCAGGACATTCTACACCCTAATTTCTTTTGGAGGTCCACAGAACTATGGTTGTTGAAAACTAACGATACAATTTCGCACTATTTTGAAGTGAGAAACAGAAAACTGCAGAGTAAGCCCTAAAAATATCACAGTTAAAAACAGCAACAACCCAAACTCCCCCATCTCCACCCACTTGACAGCCCTCAGCCTCCTGCCCCACGTTAAATGCAGCATTTGGCCACCAACCATTG